TCGATAGAATTCGATCTGCACTAATAATAAGGACTAGACACTCATGACATTGGTCACCACGCAGTGATCAATCAATTGTGATTACATCTCGGTCCTACAGGAGGTCGGTCGCGGCCCGGATAGCTCAGTGGTAACGTCTCTGACTGTGAAGCTGGGTGACACGGGATCGAATCTACCAGGGAGCACCAGTTCCCTCAAGATTACAGGTACACCTTGCTGACGAGTGCCAAGTAGCACGAAACCCAGGTCCAGGGTTTACTGTCGACTACCTCCAACCACCATTTAAGACTAACTAAAGCTGAAGAATTATTGAAAACCAGTGTAAGGTATGATCAATAAACGAACTCATCAATGATAAAGTGAAACGCCCACCACCACGTTAACTTTCTTTGACCTTATATGACCAGGTCTTGTTTATTCACCAATCACAATTTTATGTTCATTATAAAACAATATTTGCCTTGTTGTCTCATTTTTCCTATCCTCTAGTTACTGTTCGGTATGTTATTTATGTCTCTGTTTTTCCCTGTGTTAATAGACTGTACTGTTTGTTTTGTACACTAACGGTGTTAATTTATGTTTTAGAAACAGATAAAGTTTATCAAGCCAAATAGCTTACTTGTTCTGACGTTGGCTAAACCAAGACTCTGTGTTCGACAGTCTAGAGAATAGCTTAGAGTTACACCTGTAGGAAATTGTTTCCTACAACCAGTAATAAACACAAACAATCATATAGACGAACTAAACACAATTCTGGATAACACTTAAATATATATATAAATCGATGGGTTATTACATTACTTTTTAGCCAAAGAGGTTATAGTCTGATGATGCTTCTTTAATATATTTTTCTGAAAATGCCTCTGAATGCAAAACCTAGCTAGGCAAGAATATGATGTCATTACATAGAATGATTGACTGCTTGTTGAAACTATTTAGTGTTTTTCAAAATTACTAGTTTGAGATCGTGAAATAAGTTTATACTATGAGTGGTATTAGATGTCATAACTTATAATCAGTGGTAAAAGTATAGACATATCCATACTTTATCCTAAATATTTGTTATATCTAGAAAATAGACCCTCGATATATCACGTACAACTTGAGCACTTGAACCTTCCAAGTCGCAAGTCAGAAGACGGGTGGGAAGGAATCTTATTTCAAACAATATCAAATATGTTACAAAACACTTAGGAATTTATAGCTTTTAGTAAAAACGAAATCATCATTACAGTCATCCAATACGCATACATTGGTTTTTAGCATTTGTCCAATCGGGCAGCTACACTTCGAGATGCTGGAATGTTCTTACAAAAGATGATTGGATAGAATGTTTTCTTTGAGTTCACCAGGAACCGTTCCCACAATATTCAGCACAAATAATGTAACTTACCGTTTATCTATCAACTTAATTTTTCTCTGATTCACTTGACTAACCAGAGTTCATACCTTAATATTTAAGAAGCAGATAGTATTAGTTCCAAGATATACATTAAAAATTACACTTCATTTCCAATCATTTGCTAATGTAGACAAAAAGAAATGCTCTACCTTCATCATTTTCAAAAGCCCAATAGCATCATTAACGATGAAAGGAACAATTATTCAAAAAAAATTGAATTATACCTAATTAAGTGCTTACGTGTAACTGATCACAGCGATCCAGTTGTATGCACTAAATGTTAATTTTTAATTCGATTTGTCTTAACTAAGCTATAAATGCGTAGTTTCTCAATGATACTGATATCGTCACATAGACTCTTATTTCTCTGTATTCCTGTTATAATATGAAGTGGGTCAACTTAAACATGTGAATATTAGCAACAGATCATAACGCTGTAAAATTCATACAACACTAAAAACATTATCGCTTCTTTTGTAAGAAGTGAAACAATACCGCGATTGTCAATGTCAGGAAAATAGTTTTCTTACAGGACTACTGTTGTGACGGCAGGTGTCCAAAATCTGATACTCATACACGATGTGCTTCGTGTTAACCTCCCAACTAACTACTTGAACGAGAACACAAAAGAGTGTATTAGACTACCGAATGAAATGCACAAATACTCATTCATATATATACCACTCGAATCCTTAAGAAATTGATCTCTCCTGCTGAGTCAGTGTTCGGAAGTAAGATCCGAACTTCATTCGATAGCATACATTCACAAAGAAGAAAACGAGATTATAACATCAGTTTGCTAATGAGCAACATGTGTGCCTCATCCGTCACGGACGATTAAATTCAAATAAAGTACATCCCAGCTGGAACCTACAACTAGATTATTTAATTCATAGTTACTTTGAAGCATCAGGATCAGTGGAGAATAAGTGATGACCAGAACGCAAGAAAGTCATCAAGAGGACGACATTTCCCTGAACGCTATCAGTTACATTCAAAGAACAAGACTTATTTTTTTTAGAAGGGAAAGGTAATATGGAGAATCGATCCGAAGTGACCTGAAGGACAAGTGCATTGCTTGGCTAAGAAGTGGATCAGTTTCCTAAGGATTAGAGCAGTATATATATGAATGGCTATTTGTGGATTTTATTCGGTAGTCCAATACACTCTGTCGCTCACTCTTGCATTCTCTCCCAAGAAGATAGTTGAGAGGTTAACACGTAGCATATTGTATATGAGTATCAGATTTTAGACACCTGCCGTCACAACAGCAGTCGTTGATAATTTTTAAAAAAAACGAGCCACTCCTTAAAAACAAACGTCCGATGATGCTGAACAGAACGAATATTCTCACTTGAAGTAGATATTTTTTAATGAATGAAACGGTATCAAGAAACACCGACTAGTTTACGAAATTCTCTGCATCATTTTATAAAATTCACATATATTTTCTACTTTTATCGTTTACAGATATGCACAAAGATATGAAAACATATTTCAGCCTGTCAATAAACCGCCATTATCACTTAAATGTTATATAATTAACAGTACTATTAAAAGAATAATCAAACTGCATCACGAGGTAAGCCCTAACTTGAAATCCTGAAGGGAAATCGAAAAGAGGAAGGCCAAAGAACACATTAAGTTGAGAAAAAGATGCGGATATGAAAAGGATGAATAACAACTGAATAGAGCTGGAAAAGATTGCCCAGGACATGGTTGGATGGAGAATGCTGGTGAGCAGCCTATGCTCCTTCACGAGGAGTAACAGGAGTAAGTAAGTACTATTATAAGAAAACAGTTATCACTAATTTGATAAATACATTCTACATATACTTAGTATTCATTTTACTTTATTATTTTTTTATTAATTTCACAAAAGTATCATTCATTTTTATTCTGATTATGAATCTTTAAGAAACAAATTTCATTTTAACTTATAGGCTGATTTCATTGTTAACAAAGCATATTAATCATCTTGGCAGTAAACAACTGTATTTGATCAAATAATCGTAAATTCCAAATGTTATAATTTTCAAAACGATATACTTTACACTAAACCTAATCACTAGTTGAATTATTAATTTCAATTTAATATAATTCATAGAACCTGAAAAGAAGTTGTTGATGATAGGACGAGAATAAAAGTCAATTGATTTACTAATTATGAATTTCGTTCAACAATATTTCTGTTCTGATTTAATGGGATGATCATTCAGTGTAGTAGTAGTTGTTGTTAGGTTTGCTCATATGATATTTTATTCTGTATAATATACGATATTCTTTTATTTACTTGACATGGTGAACTGTCATCTGTTTTTGCAATCCCAAGTGGTGTCCGTCAAGGCTGTCCAATTTCTCCCATTTTTGTTTAGTTACATCACAGACCTACTGATGGAAATAACGTTCTTGTCAACTGAATTCTCCGGTATTGATCTCCTTCCAGGAGGTTCACATATCGTGTCTTTTGGTAGAATTAAGCAACAATGCCAGAATGTTTGGAATGCGCTTCTCTCCATCTTAATGCAAATTTTTGCTTCAGGACTGGTGTGCATCAACACCTGAACTAAGGATAGGGAGTGAAGTAATCAAACGCGTTGACTGAGATGTTGGGCCACGTGTTGCGTATGCCTGAACACCGATTACCACGATGTGCAATGCTAACCGGTGTTGGAGATGGTTGGAAAAAAGTTAGGGGCAGCCAAACCAAAAAGTGGCATCAGTTCTTAAAGTCACTAACTTCTGGTCTAAGCCATGTTGGTAGATGCAAACTACTTGGTTGGGGTCCGTGTGACTATCGTGATCAATAGTTGGAGACTCTGGATGACATGGCTCAGAATCGATCACAATGGTGTAGGTGTATACACTCTCTGTCTTCCATTAAACTATGAGATTAAAATCGCTTCATATCTTTCTTTCTGCAAACTAATTTTTTCTTCCTGTACTATATCATTATGTGCAATCTTTCTCTTATTTATTACCACCGCTGAATTAACTACTTCTATGAATCCGGTGTTCATCTTATTGTGCTAATGCGGTATGGCAACAATCAGTGACGGCCAGATATAACAAGTAGCTTTCAATCGACAAGACATAACAGTTGAAAAGAATATTCTTCGTTCATATATATATATATATATATATATATATATATATATATATATATATATATATATATATATATATATATATATATATATATATATATATGTCTTTAAATACATTATTCAATAAATAAAAAAACAAGGCAATTTATTGTACATTAAGAAAACAAAAAACAATCTCCTGAGTATAATTATCGCATCTATAGTCAATAACTAGAAAAATAATATTAATAATAATAAGTAAATAAGTAGTACATACACACATTACGTATTTTTTTGAATAAAAAAAATAATAATAATTGAGCAATTCAAAGAAGAGAAATTATTGGACATAATGAGTTTAAGACATATGCTGGTCACTCCCATTATTCACTTATAGCAATAGTAATGATATTAATTATTATTATTATTATTATTATTATTATTATTATTATTATTATTATTATTATTATTAGTAGTAGTAGTAGTAGTAGTAGTAGTAGTAGTAGTAGTAGTAGTAGTAGTAGTAGTAGTATTAAGGACAAATGGTAATGATGTAACAATAGAAAATTGTAGTAATTTACTTTCTCCAGTAAAAAGAAAAGGTTAAAAATACACTAGTAAATCAATAATAACAACAGCAACAAAAAATAATGATTATTAGAAAAGAATACATCTAAAGATCACAGTTTATATAGGGGTAAAGAAGCAAATTTTGCATTAACATAAATACCTGTTGCTTTCCAAAGATCATCATTCATTGGATATTGAGAAGAGGTCAATTTAATATTGGGACACTATAGAAGAAATAATTTTTTTTAAAAAACAACAAAAAGAAATTAGAAATAAAGTTCCACAGGGTAGAAAAATAACTTAAAATTAAAAATGAATAAATATATTTTTTAACTACAGTGTTTACCACCGACAAACTCGTTGAGTTTAAACTTTTGGCTGGTCACGTCTTAGGGTCATCACTACCCCACTAGGGGGGGTGATCTGTAGCGGTAAATAAATCCCTAAAATAAATAGCTCTGTAAGTCTTCGACATTGGGTGCTGACTACATTAGTTCTAATGAACTCGGTGAGAACGCCATGCTCAACAACCCCTGCAATCGCTATCCAGATTAGATCAGACGATCCCCGATATATTGATAGCCTATCAAATATATCTTCGAACCTCCTCGCTTCTGTCTTCTGATTTCAATTGGTAGGTACGATTTATATTTGATGTTACTGAATAAAGCGTTGTCAAACTCCGAATACCTGTGGCATATTCAGTATAATCAAACTATATTGGATAGAATACTTGTATCTTAAGTTCTTACTATACTAGACAGATTGGTTGGAGGACGTTAAGGATAAGAGTAGCAACCTAAGTTTTCAAAGAGAAGCTGTATTGATTACTGACACTATAGTATGATGGCAGTGGAGTGTTCCGATCACAATGAGAATCAGTGATGACGATACCTTCTTATGACGGAAGGAAGACTTTAGTGAAGCTCTATCCTAAAAATATCACTTTTCACCTTAGCCCACGGATTCCTGTATCTTGTGATAAGGCCTTACAAATATGGAGATAACACATCAAAAACTATTATCTAAATCGTTTTGTGTGACCGGACTTAATCACTTGTTCCTTGAGCTCACTAGTCACTTTCCCAGGTTGCCAATACTAGTACAATTCCCTTTGCACTTTATAAAAAATTTTCTATCTTCCCTGTAAACTCTTCTCCAATGTCTGGGTAATAATGTGGTGTATGCTACTCAGTAGTATATAACACCAATCAGAAGTGGAATGCTTGTCAAAAGAAGACTGAACTGAAGAGAATAGAAAGGAGTTGGAACAAAAAAGAATTGGAAGAATCATGAACGATGTAAAGGACAACTGATGGAAGATGTACAAATGAAGTATTTAATGAATGATTTTCATAATTTACGAAGACACTGTAATTTTGCACTAAACGATAGATTGGTTCTTCCCACAAAGTTGTCGTTCATTACAGCAATGTATTCAAGTTTTTATAATTGGAGACGACATTGAATGGTACATTGTGTAAATTCAGTAGTAGTAGAAGGAGGAGTTATATGCATTCACTCCATTCACTTTGAACTGTTGATTCAAGCATAATACTAAGCATACTTTAATTTGCCTCATTTGTTTCTTTGGAAATGGTGTTTCTTGAATACATCTTCCTAGTGAGCCTGATGTCATTTCTTTCTCAAGTCCTTTCATCTGGTTAGCTCCCTCTTAATGATAATATAGGATGGTGGAACTAGGATCGTAAAAGCTGATAAAAACTAGTTAACTGAATGAAAATCATTCCAAATAATGTAATTAGAGGTCTCTTACACTAACCATTGATAGCTTGGTACACTGGAAACTTAAACAGACTGACTTACGCTAACAACCTCATTCCATACTTGTATGTGTTCCATTACTGTGTAAAATGAGAGGACAGAGAATATGATTCATTTTCTATACCAGTGTTTTCTACCATCAACACTGTTACCATTCTAACCATTCGACGATTTGCTTTGCTAATTTTATCTCGGTGTTGTGATGTATACATGTTCTAGGTCCTACGTTGCTGAATAACTAAATAGTCATTCTCCCAGTTACAGCTGATCATAATAATAATAGTAACAATAACGATTCAATGTATGAATAAAAAATGAAATACTTACAGAGCTGTTTTTCACAAATTCATAACCCTGAGAGTTGTTGAGGAAGGAAAATGGATTCATATGAAGATTTTTCACTAGATTTTGAATTCGTTTAATTGGAAATAAATGTGCTTGAGTACTGAATACATAATCATATTCATTCACATTGACAGGATTCGATTCATCGAATAACTACGAAGAAATCAAATGAAGGAATAAATGTAATGGTAATTACAGTGATATTGATTGATAATTTCTCAGGATTTATTAATAATGTGTTGTTGATATTTAAAAGTGAATTAGTCAACCTTTTATGAATTTAATTAGTTATTTTTATTTTATTTTATTTGAACACATATATACTGGTACTGTAGTGAGTAGAACACAGGTGGGGACAATCGAATGTATTTAGGTGCATAATTACAGAGCATCTCAATAAAATCTGAGAACCATATATTAAATTGTGAATTTGCAAAATATCAATCCATCATATCAAACTTGACTGTTCCTGTTGCAAACATCAATCCATTATCTCAGATTTCATAGTTCATGCGTTTTCATACAAATTGCATTGTGTTCCCGCTCTTCTTTTCTTGATCTTCCCCCATCTTCTGCTGCTAGACATTACGTTCCTAACTCGCGCCATATACTACTTATGTCTACATAAGTAGCACACACCCCAGTACAAGGGGGAACTAGATACATATGCGCCACACAAATCTTATTTGATTTGTGTGAAAGTTGTGATACTGCCCGGGTATTATTATATATTATTTATTTGAACACATAAATATTGGTACAGGGGGGCACCAAATATATATGCGCCACACAAAACAATGATAATTTGAAGAGGAGAAAAAAAATTTAAAAAAAAAGTAATGAACGTGGGGAATTATAAAAAAAAGAGGGAGAGAACAATGATGGGGAAAACGGAAAGGTACAATCAGAGGAAATCTTTCAGTTAGGGAAGATACAACCACTTTTTATGAAGAAAGTAAAAGGTTACAGCAGGATCGCCACTGGCTTCTATTCTGAGCCATATCTGATAACGTCTCTAGCCACTGCGTTATACCGTCTCTCGGACACCAGCTAGGGAGTCGTGAAGGACCAACAGAAGCTAGCCCTTTGCAGCTTTCTTTCATACCACGACAGGTTTCACAAGCATAGAGCAAAACTGCTCTCACCGTCGCGTTGTAGATCCGACCTTTTACAGCCAGACTAACATCACGAAGGCGCCAAAGGTGGCCCAGATTGGCATAAGCCGCTCTGGCTTTCACTATACGTGCATTGATCTCATCACTCACACCACCACCAGCACTTATGCAGCTACCTAGATACACGAACTTCTCGACTACTTCTATCTGCTCACCATCCAGAGTGCGTACAGGATTAGAATCCTGCCAGTCTTGTAGAAGAACTTTGCACTTCGAAGGTGCAAAGCACATACCATACCTACGGACACTGATTGCCAACTGATTAAGTGCGGATTGCATGGCTTGGGCATTCTCGCACAGTAAGACAATATCATCCGCATACTCAAGGTCGAGAAGTCTTTCTCCAGGCAACAGATCCACACCACCATTACTTACATCCGTCAGAGCTGTTTTCAGAATGTCATCGATGGCAAAGTTGAAGAGGAATGGTGAGATTGGGCAACCCTGCCTAACCCCACTGCTCGAATGGAATAGTGGAGAAAGGTGATTGTATGCCCGCACTCTGCCTGAGGTGTTTGTGTATAGGGCTTTGAGGATGTTAATAAACTTCTCAGGCACACCCTTCTTCAATAGACAATCCCAGAGAACAGTTCTGTCCAACGAATCGAAGGCAGCCCTGATATCAAGAAACACTACGATTGTTGGCCTTTGATAAGTATGGCGGTGTTCTAACACTTGGCGTAGGGTGAAGATATGATCAATACATCCTCGACCAGAACGAAACCCAGCCTGCTCCTCGCGAGTCAATCCTTCTCGGGTTCTGAACAACCTACGAAGTATGACGGAAGCCAATAGCTTGGACGCAATCGGAAGTAGACTTATCCCCCGATAGTTGTTACAGGAACGACGTGAACCCTTTTTAAAGATAGGGACAACTATCGACTCATTCCATGACGTTGGTACACTCTCTAGTCCCCAGATCTTTGTAAACAACGTCGTCAGTCCCTTAGTCAGAAAGTCACCACCATCTTTAAAAAGAGCCGGAGGTAAGTCGTCTGGGCCCGGTGATTTGTAACGTTTCAAGAGTTGGAGTTCCTTGCGGACTTCCGCCTCATTTGGTTGATCAGTCGTCACCGGCCATGGAGGGCAGGACAGTCTGACCGATGTTGCCGGAGCAGCAGGTCAGTTGAACTGCCCTTCAAAGAATTCTGTCCATCGTCCAAGACGTCGATGGATGTTAGTGATTGGCGTTCCGTCATCCTCACAGATTGTTTCGCTCACACCAGACTTCTTGCTGCCAGTGGCTCGGATGAGTTGGAAGAGCTTCCGGTAATTACCAGATGCAGCTGCTGCTTCCAACTCACTGGCACGCTCCGACCACCAGGCTTCTCGGTCCTTACGCAAGCTTTGCCCGATTTCATTACGTAACATCCTTCGTCTGTGGTCAAACTCACGGTCACCCGGAGTAGACCGACGCGCTTCAATCAGTTGTAAGAAACCGGAAGAAACCCAGTGCTTGTAAGCGGGACGTTTCGCGAACCCACAACAGACTTTACCCGCCATTTTCATGGCGTCATGCAATTGCAAACAATGCTCATCTATACTTTTCGGTGGAATGGTAGCTAGCCTAGAAGCTAGCTCGGTTCGATACTTACTAGCAACAGAAGTTGCAGCCAGCTTGCTAACATCAATCCTTTGGTGGCGGTAACTTCGTTGTCCACTGAAAAGTAAGGTAAGATTGGCGCAGACCAGAGCATGATCAGATTCCAGATAGGTGCTCCAAAAGGAGCGGAAGTCTTGTACACAACCGCGCCAGCGGTAGCTGATCGCGATGTGATCAATCTGTATCCAGGCTTGAGATGTAGAAGGGGGACGCCAGGTGGCACATCGGCGATGACTGTGCCGAAAGTTAGTGCTAGCCAGAAACAGGTTGTGGTCTGTGCATAGTTGCAGTAGACGTTCCCCGTTATCTGTCCTGCGACCAAGAAGTCCCCATCGGCCACCTAAACGAATCTCTTCTGTGCCAAGACGCCCGACCTGAGCATTCAAGTCTCCGGCTAGTACTACAATATCTGTCGAACGCACTTTCTGGAGAAGAACAGTTAGCTGATGGTAGAACTCGTCCTTGATTACATCCGAGATGCAATCTGTCGGGACATAGGCGGAGATGACGAAAAGACATCGTTTCTCACGCCGATTTCTTCTCACTTTGATGGAACTTTCTAATCTAACAGCACATAACCGACTGTAAATGGGGATCCAGTCGACTAGTGCTGCCTCAGCTCTAGCGCTTAGTGCGACACCAACGCCAGCAAGACCAGACGAAGATGCCACAGGGTCCCCGGATAAACGCACATAAAACAAGCTTTTTGAAGTGACAGATGGAGAGCGAACTTGTAGTACTTCACCAGAGTCTTGAATACGTGTCTCGGATAGACAACACACATCAATATTAAGACTTTCCAAAAACATAGCCAGCCCTATCTGTTGTCCGACATGCATAAGTGTGCGAACGTTGAAGGCAGCCAGTTTGAATGGTGCATGTGGTTTCAGAAAAACTGCTTCAGTACTCATATTCGGTGGTAACATACAATTTTCAACCAGGCAGTGACTCGAGAACGTTTAGATAAAGCTAAATTTTCACCATAGGCGAGCTGCTGTCTAGGTCGAAACGGATACATAAAGTAGGAGTAAGAGAGGGTGAATAAATGACGTGGTAAAATAATAATAATAATAATAATGATAATAATAATAATAATAATACGAGTCATTTCAATGTTAATCAGAGAGAAAGGAATATTTTACATAAGCAAATAGTTCATCATGATTTTAGTGCGTGGGCTGAGATTCTGCCCGGGTGCCCAAACCGAAGCAGGTGGTTTTCTTAGGGGGCCACCTCCCGAGCCTTTGACCTAAACGTCTGACCCACAAGGCAGTGGAACGTCGTGAGGAGATGCAGTCCCATGGAAGCCGGTGACCAAAAGTTGGTTCATACGCCATTTGTTCCCGCAGGATACTGGAGCCCTTGTGCACCATTGAATTGGGATCCGGTTATAGCGCCGGACATTCGCTTTTCGTCCTCTCATTTTCGTAAACAACACTCGTGGTGCGAGAAGGCAGTGAGTAGGACTTCCCTGACAGAGGCTGTATACGCGTGGCCGTGTGAGAGTATTTCGAGAGGGAGGGCGAACCCTAGCCGCTCTCGGCCATACCAGGGTATTTGGGGGTCCGTTTGCCCGGACTGAAGCAGATAGATTCGTAAGGGGGCCACACTCGGAACCTTTGACCTAAAGGTCCAGTCCATAAAGCAGTGGAGCAGCATGAGGAGATGCAGTCCCATGGTAGCCAGTAACCAACAATGGGTTCACATGCCATTTGCTCTCGCAGGATCCGGGAGCCCATGTGCACCATTAGTTTGGAATCAGGATTTCCCAACTCCACTAAGTGGATCCTCTATATCCACCAACCCGGTTAAGGCGCCGGACACTCGCTTTTTGTCTTCTTAATTTTGTAAACAACATCCTCGCCGCGCGAGGTAGTGAGTAGGACTTCCCTGGCAGAGACTATATACGCGTGGCCATGTGAAAGAATTTCGAATGGGAGAGCGGACTCTCCCCACTCTCAGCCGTACCAGGGCATTTGAGGGCGAATTCAATTAGCTTGACACTAATATTTAGATCTACATGTTCATTCTACTTTAGATCCCGTATAGGTAGTGGAATGTGAGATATATTTGATTAGGACTTAATAAAAAGAACAAAACATCAATATAAATAGAAATATCCCAATCTGTTACTAGATACATATTCCCATTAACTTCCCAAATGTATTGAGATGTCGTAGTATCTTACAACGACGACGGTAGTACATGGAGTATCACCTTCAGTTGCCGTAAAAATGAAGGACATCTTATCATACGGGAAACCCCAGTAGATAGAAAAGTCCAAATTTACCGGAGGAGAATAACATTATTGCAGGAGATGGAAATAATTTTTGAGAAATTGAAAATCTCCCATAGTGTGTTATGTTATGACCCGAGTCCAGGTACCCAAGTCAAAATATTACTAAACTAGTAAACCGAAGAGTAATGTAATAAATGGAAGCAATACAAAAGATATATTTAGGCCGGACTGGTACTACGCCCCAACCGTGAACTCTTGACCTACCCTATGTTTACTCACACTCCATTCAATGATGACGGGGAAAGCCATTATTTATGTATTTTCCAAGATGACCTTAGAAAACGAATATATAAGATGCAATTATTACAACGTCTGATCCTACTGTACTGTGGTCTAAATATTTAAAACTATGACTTACAAATTCTTTATTTTGTGGAATTAGGGTTAAATTTCCGTGAGATATTATTGGCAATATTATTATTAGCTTTATTCAATATTATACTTTTGGTACAATATAGAATTCTCAGCACAAGTTTCCATTTCTTACTTCCTAGTCGATCCTGATGACAAATATTGAGTAATCGCCAGTTAGAAGTTAGCAATCCAGTCAATCGTCATCTAAATAATGTACATTCTTTTCGCTATATATTGCTAGCAACCACGATATCTCTGAATGGATCTTTTGTAAATTGCACAATGAAAGGTTGTACACTTTTCAGAAACGCACATGAATAGGTTGTGCGATTAATAACCACAATAGTGTATTAAAACAAGTAAAATTAGATAAATTGGTGAAGCATCTAGATGGCAGCAACACATAGCCCAGATATTAAAGCAGGTCGCAATACATTTTTAAACATATTTTATAGTCTTTCCATAGGTACAAAAGTCACTGAGAAAACATGCATGAACATGACCAAGGGACAAAATATATCACTTTGGAATGGCGGCATTTAGTAAATTATTTCCTACACTATTCAAACACACAAGTTGTCTAATCTATTTTCTATTTAATACTAAACAGATATTTCTTCATTTTACAAAATCTTTTACTCATATGCTAACAGAAATGTTCTTTTTAAGGACAAAATATTTGTGAGGTTGAAGCAAAGAAAATTTCAAGGTTAAGTGGATTATGGCTAAATAACTGTATTATTGAGTTATTTAGTTATTTAATAACTATATTATTGAGGCCAGATACTATCAGCAACAGCCTACTGTGGGAGAGAACAAACCAGCTATCAGCTGGAAAGGAAATTAGGAAAAGATTATGGAAATGGATAGGACATACATTATGCAAATCATCAAACTGCACCACGAGACAAGCCCTAACTTGGGATTCTGAAAGGAAGCGGAAAAGAGTAAGGCCAAAGAATACACTACGTCGGGAAGTAGCAGATATGAAAAGGATAAATAATAACTTGAAAGGATAGGCCAGGACAGGGTTGGATAGAGTGCTGGTGGGCGAGTTATGCTCCTCCACAAGGAATAACAGGCGTAAGGAAGTAACTGTATTATTGAACTTACCAAATATAAGTACTTCAATGTTTCACTTAGAAAAAAGCTTTCCATACGATCTTCTTTAGATTTATCAATTACATTATGAATAGTTGCAAATCCACATCTGGGAAACAAAACAAGCACATTATATTATTATAAAGTATTGTAGTATAATAGAAACATAATGTATCCATTATTGACTATCTTCAAGAGGTGATTTCTTGGAATTCGAGTGAGAAGTAGGATTCAACCATATCGGGTGCAAACTACTTATCCACCAACGGCATCAGAGGATGGTCTACAATATTGCGAATTGATTGATATTTAAAATGTAAACGATTGGACGCCAACACAGATGCTTAAAGGTTAAGTAATCACCCCACAACCCGAATATCCTGGGTTCGATCGCAGGTGATGTTTTAGACTTCCACAAACAAACAACCAAAAATAAGATAGGTAATTTTTCGTGTACACGTTGAACCTAACAGATTTGAGTTGGTTGGATGATATTTCTATTAGTCAAATAAATATATGCTTATATCCTTTGTCACATCGTAGGACTGACACACATGATGTATATCTAGTACAACCTTATTTTGTTGTGTTGTATTCTATCTTTGCATAGCTTTTGTCGATCATCTATACTGAGTCGAATACACTAAGTTATTGATTAAGGCGTGTTTCATTCTCGCTTACTTAGTCCGTTTGTGTCAAATTATTTATCACAGGACCTTAACCTTATACCAGTTCTCTTATGTGACAAGCCATTGACTTAAAGGTCTAATTAACAAGGCGATGTAGTAATGACAGGAGATGCAATCAAATGGTAGTGTCCATAGTAAGTCTGTTTGTTATTCGTATATGTGTCTGACAACTCAGTTTATACACCAAATATCAACTTTTGTCCTTCGAATTGGAAAGAATCTTCTACAAAATCAAATTAGAGTAGATAAATGTTAAGGGACCACCAAGTGAGATATCAAGTAGTGATATTTTCTTCAGGATACCACCATTTCTGTATAACATTTCATTGTGCATAATTTAGCGTGGCTCATGGTTTTACAAAATCGAGTACGACATCTCATTTGTACCAAATTAGTCCGAATTTTGTTAACAAATAGTTAATATATGTAATTTGCATATGAGTGTATCGGTAAGATAAAAGAACGATTTTAAATTTTAATAGACAAATAGTTCCTTATCTTTCAGCAATGTTTGTCTTCTTTCTGGCATCAAGATATATCATAGTTCAGTTCGAGTCGCATTACAATCGTCTATTTCTCAAGTCCTAGAGTTAAACTTATGTGACAAACAGTTACTAACCACACATGGGAAACTTACTCGGCCTTAGTATATTTATTGATACCATCCATAATATCTTTGCCCACATGTAAATAAAAAGGATGTTTCGTCGCTCTATATAAAAGGTATGTCGATTCAGCGAATTCCGGACGAAGTGGATAGAAGTAAAGTTCGGGTTTCTCAGTCATAATATTATAACGTTCTGGAGGTAAACCATAAATTTTCCAAATGAAATAATGTACAGCATGATGACAAATTGCTTCATTAAGATCACCATGAAGAACCTACATTAATAATAATCATAATAAATAGAGAGAAACTATAAGTGAAGAGCATATATTGTTTTTTTCTATTATTAAACTATGAACTATTCAAAAGCATATAAGTACTAGCGGGATAAAATTCTAGCTATTAATCAGGATCAAATCGGAATGAGCTGACTACGCTATTTCTCGAAGAGGGCAAACATGAAGATTGGTGCAAAATAATATTCATTCACTTTATGTCGCGAGGTCCTCGTCAACTGCTTACAACCTATTATATTTCAAAATTAAAGTTATAATAGATATTGACATACTTATACATACGAGGGTGATTAAAGATGAATATGTGTATCATAATATAGCGAAGATCCCAATAGTAAATAAGGTCACAAAAGTTGCTTGTTTCCGGATAAATAAATTTTGAGAAGGAGAGTTCCAGGACATCGAACTAGTGATAAGAAATCATAGAGTTAACAAACAGTAGATGATTGTGTAATGAACTAAATGAGAACAGATTAATGGTAATAATGATATGAGCTGAAAACAGTCAATTATAAATTAAAGAAAAATGACAATGATGTAATAAAAAGGATGTAATACTACCAGAAAGATTTATTATTGGCTCTTTTTTGGATACATAAGTCATGTTTTAGACGTTTTGGTCTCTCTGTACTAATGTGATGTACCGAAATGAGCCAGAACATATGTGCAAGGTTCTACTCCTACGTATGAGTGACCATATAATAAACCCTTTAATTTGGTTTGTCTCTAATGAGCTGAGAACAGGGTAAAAAGTTGTTGGAGGCGTAATATAGTTTTCCTTGAATAGTGTTTTACGTTGTATTAGTTCTTGTGTTTACTTTTAGGTTAATATTTCGATCCATATTGCTAGGATGGAAGAGTTATAGCTCAATTGGTATAATTATGACATTATTAAGAAATAAACTTACTAATACACCAGACCAGGCTGACTGTAACGTATCTATCCAATGATTAACTTTATTACCAGAAGACATATCAACATTCCAATAGATTGGTGGTGAACCACTACCAGATAAACATTGAGGTCGACCAGTACGTAAATGATACTGAATACTACTTAATGCTTCGTTGAACATTTGTCCTAATTGATTATCACCAAATAGAATATATGCCTAAAATGAATAATATTATTAACGAAAACTGAATAAGAAGGTACAAACTGAGGGTATATATATATATATATATATATATATATATTATATTTATTTTTTTTATTTATTTAACACATAGGTATTGGTACAAGGAGGCAACAACTACATATGCGCCACACGAATCTCAATTGATTTGTGTGAGGGCTGTGATACTGCCCGGGTTCCCAAACCGAAGCAGGTGGTTTTCTTAGGGGGCCACCTCCCGAGCCTTTGACCTGAACGTCTGATCCACAAGGCAGTGGAGCATCGTGAGGAGATGCAGTCCCATGGTAGCCGGTGACCAACGATTGGTTCATACGCCATTTGTTTTCGCAGGATACTGGAGCCCATGTGCACCATTGATTTGAGGTCCGATTAAAGCGCCGGACATTCGCTTTTCGTCCTCTCATTTTCGTAAACAACACCCCCGCCATGTGAAGGCAGTGAGTAGGACTTCCCTGGCAGGGGCTATGTACGCGTGGCCATGTGAGAGCATATATATATATATATATATATATATATATATGCCGATGCTATAAGATTTCAAACGAGATACCACTGTAATATTCCGGTTTCCAAAGATCTGAAGGACAAAAATAAACAATTCGATTGATTGATTGATAAGTAGTTAGCTCGTTCTATCAGTTGATTTGCTATACAATCCACTGGGTTAAATGACCTGATATTGTGATCCAATTTGTACTGATGGTAATAAATCATGAATATATAATTTTATAAGCATAACAATTCTACAATATTTAATTAAATTTCATCTTTACAATAAGCTTTAATGATAATGATATTATGATATAGATTTTTTTTTCTCAAGTGTCTATGTTAAGTGGGTGTTATATAACTTTCAATAATAGATATTGGTGTACAATAGAGATAATGTTTCTTGGAAATGATGATAATATTAGAATAGATCGAATCATTTTTAACCTTATTGTACACTTGATCATTGTCATGTTGACAATTTTTCAAGTATACCCTAATATCAGTGCACTGATATTAGGGTATTTGTTAAAAACAATCTATATTTGTTGGAAAATAATTAAAGAAAATATACGTTAATCTGATCTTCATGTTAAACAGAGAATGGTGTGATATATAACCATGATTGATCGATCATTTTGATTGTTTGTGAATAATCAATTCATTTGGAAATATTTTTCATTGTAACCTTTTTTTAATTCATTTAATAGGCATTAAACTTATTTAAACAATAATTGGGTTATGTTATTTAGGCGAGCGAATAATGACAATCATACTCGATCTCTCACATTGAATTCACTTAAAACAAAATTAGAACATGTGATTTGATGATTGTCTTGGATTCCACTTTATGTAGGCATTAGAGGTTAAACACTACTAAGCATCCCCCTATATATATATGCTGTATAGAGTTGGGTCAGGAGAAAATTAGAGGAGTCAAACCAAAAAGTAATATTAATCATTGACTGTTAGTCTGACCTATTGTGGTTTATCTAGACTACCTGGTTGCGGTTCGTACAATAACCAGGATCAGAGATTGGAGACTTTAGGTGACATAGAACCATTCAAAATAGCATGGACAAATTCACTCGTTATTTTTTTTTTGAATTTTCAGAATTCCACAAAGTTCTAAACACACAAAGCTGAATAAAACGATTATTATTGGGCTAAATAAAAAAAAAGATTAGAAACAGAGGCTAAATTTCATTTTACTTTATGTAAATATTCAAAAAATGAATCTTGTCCAGCACCGAGACCACTCATTCGATTTATCCATTCACCTGAATCCACATCGATTGTTGAGCCTGTATAAATGTCAAACAAAAAAAAAAATTCAAACTTTTCCCGAAGTTACTGAAATAAATATTACACGGCGTATTAGTAGTCACATGTTGACTATTGCATTGTACGAGGTGAAACAAACGGTTGTAGTGAGTACTTTTTATACTATTTAGTTGCTTCGATAATAATCACTCGTTAGACAACATTTGGAAGATATCGATGATGGAATAATAGTGAATTACCTCACGGCTTAATGTGCATGCACTGATTTTCGGTCGAATAGATTAATATGACATAAACACATACGAAGTTGTGACACGTTCGCCGAACGGTACGCCGAATCACAACCAAACTACCTATTTCCCGACCAATTTTATGAAAAGTGTTCAGCATTGATTCAACTAGTTTGGATAATGTGTAACAAAATAATTACAGCATATATTTCAATGCAGTTGTTTTACCAGGAGTGGTTTCCTGCATTCGCTTTGAGGGACAGTATAGTTGTGTGAAGACTAGTGAAACAAGTGAAGCGAGACTCCAACGTGAAATCTATTAGTTAAAATTTGTGTGCTTTAACTAATTAGGCTACCAATCCACGATGGCCCACGATGCAAAGATCAAATTTAATAACCTTATAAAGTGTTGATAATTTACAGTAACTGATCACTAAGGTTTAAACTGACCAGAGTAAATCAGAGTTACTTTGATAAATGGATAATATTTGTAACTTTACAATACATCGAGAGGTGAACCCTAACGTTTCTCAAAAAAGTATAAGTCGATTATAAGCAAACACGGATGGTGGCTAGTAGTGGAATCCAGGATACGCATTTCGTCCTACTTAGGACTCGTCATCTGGATGTACCTGGATCTCAAAGTTGATGTTCACTCCAAGACTCGAACCCAGTAACATCCATTTCAAACGTCATCATGTTATGCACTTAGCTACTGAGTCCAGATAGCTACTAGCGTGCGCAACGGGGTGAAGTTCAAATTCCTTTTTTTATTGTTTGTTTAAATAAATTGCAGTTCTAAACATCAATAGGAAGATTCAAGCAAACAATATAAAAATGAATTCTAAGTCGATTATTCAGTAAAAAAACACAAGACCACATTGGACAAATAAATAAGCACAGAAAAATTTGATGAAACATTTAACTTTGAAATATCCTTGAGTTGCGTGAATAATTCACTACTTTAATACTGTGAAAAAAGCTACTTCTATTCACTTCTTTCCTTCGTTCACTAACTCGAGTAAAAACAACAGTTTAATACATGAAGCTTTCTCATGTTGACTAAGTATGAACAATTAATATACATTAAATTTATCGACTATTAGAATATTCAAACCAGGCATCCGTTACTAACATAAATCGTCTTACAAATGAAATGAAATTCTATCAATGATGTTTATTACTGAATAGTTTACGGTAATAAAATTTCAACCTAAACGACAATGAATCGCTTCGTGTAAGTTTTAACTAGGGATTGTACATTCTCAGCCCCCAAATGCCCTGGTGCGACCGAAGTCCTACTCACTGCCTTCTCGTGGCATTACTGTTGTTTACGAAAATCAGAGGACTAAAAACGAATGTCCGGCGCTTTAACCGGATTCCAAACCAATGGTGCACATGGGCCGGCTCCAGTATCCTGAAGGAACAAATGGCGTATGAACCAATCGTTGGTCACCGGCTTCCATGGGACTGCATCTCCTCACGATGCTCCACTGCCTTGTGGGTCAGACATTCAGGTCAAAGGCTCGGGAGGTGGTCCCCTAAGAAAACCACCTGCTTCGGTTTGGGCACCCGGGCAGTATCACAGCCTTCACATATATTAAATGAGGTCTGTGTGGCGCTTATGTATTTGGTGCCTCCTTGTACTAATATCTATGTGTTAAAATAAATAAATAATAAATATACATCCCCAAAAAACTTTCAATTAGATATTAAAATAAAAAAGCTGATCGATATTGCTTGTCGACACTAAAATTCAGCTATCATTTAAGAGAATACAATATAAGCAACCATAAAACTAATTAATAGAACAGATGATAAAGAGAAGTAAATTGAAGAAAGAAAATTGCCGGTTTAACATTCTTTGAGTTGTATATTTCATGATTACATAAATTTGAGTGAGATTGGATAGCTTCAAGCACCCATAATATATAAAGGAAATTTTAAACTAGCATGAAATCGAGTTGAGAATTTTGTAGTTTAAAGATTTGTCTAAAATTGATTTGATTTTTTCGTCTCTGGTTATAACCGTTATATATGATTGTATTGAAAATCAGGTCAGTGCTAATTGATATTCATCCCTTTATTATTTTTAAATTGTACCATATAACATTTTAGTCATGTGAGAAAAAAATGAGAATTAATGTAAATTTCAACTGAAACAAAAGACAAACAAACGGTTCGAAATAAAGCGTTTTAGTTAATCGATTACTGAATGTAGATCAAACACTGATCTGGAAAACTTTTCCAATACAAACAAAAGATCTTAGAAAATGAAAGTCATGAATGTCTTTTAGATTTAAATAAAAAAAGTTGAAGTGTCAGATGCTTATATTGTAAACTATACAGTTATTGGATAATTGGAATTTTGAAGAACAAAAAAACAGCTAGATAGATGGGTACTAAATGAATGTAAAAATAAAATGAAATGGTCTGTATTAATTTAATGTAAGAAAAATTTTCATCACATTTACTCGAATTCTCATGCTGAATAACGTGTATAAAAGATGTGCACCGGTTCAAGTTGCCATACCGCATTAGCACAATAAGATGAACACCGGATTCATACAAGTAGTTAATTCAGCGGTGGTAATATATAAAAGAAAGATTGCACATAATGATATAGTACAGGAAGAAAGAATTAGTTTGCAGAAAGAAAGATATGAAGCGATTTTAATCTCATAGTTTAATGGAAGACAGAGAGTGTATACACCTACACCATTGTGATCGATTCTGAGCCATGTGATCCAGAGTCTCCAACGGTTGGTCACGATAGTCACACGGACCCTAACCAAGTAGTTTGCATCTACCAACATGGCTCAGACCAGAAGTTAGTGACTTCAAGCACTGAAAGTAACATAAGTGTTTTTGAAACTAATTGTTTTACTATCCCATTAATTAATTGCTGATTAATTCAGTAGTGGCACAATCTATGACAATAAGACGTTTTAATATGTATGAGTAATACAAACGACAACAAACTATTCGCAAAAGTAAAAATTACTATTTTTAAAACTAGTGAGAATTCCCATTATTGCGTCATGTAATTACACGCTGAGTAGTATTTCGCGATGAAAAACTGATTGAAAATGAATATCTTCACTCGATTCGTCCTTTTTTTATTTTCAAATCGTTTACTAATCTCATGATTAGTATTAAAACTTTTCACACCTAGTTGATTGTTCGAATATTCATCAGGTATCAAGAAGTTTGAAATACAAAACCATATCATGTAATCTCTGAGGCAACTATCACAAGTTGATAATACATATTGGATATAAGTAAACAAATACAATGTAAGAGGATCTTCTTAAATTGGATAACCAATTGTTATTAATTCTGAGTAAACCCTCAAATAATGATATATATAATAATATACATGTATATAACATAATCGTACTAATACTAAAACATGACAATGTTTGGTAAGACACATAAGTGAGCCAAATGGAATCTAAAAGAGTAAGAGCTATCTAATTATTTACTTGCATGTGCTGATTAAATGTTTGTAACAAATAAAATGAGTTAGTGGACCATAAACAACAGACAAGGAGGTAAGACTTACCGAAAAGACCAGAAACACTTGATCGCTTTTTCCATAGATTTAAAACAATGCCGCGAGCTATCGAAGCGTAACTAGAATCATTGAGTAATGCACTTAAGGAACCGAATTCTAATAATAAGGAGCCAGCACCAGCGAGGCAGTTTTCAGTTGTTGTATTATCTTTCAGACCAGAATCTAGATGAAATCTAGGGTAGGGTATCCCAGTTGGTGTGTCCTTTAAATCAAAGCACGAAAGGAATAAAAACAATAGTCTCATAATGGTTGTCAAAAGCCGAAAGTAGGGTTCGGACTAACGTTCCAAAACTGACTAACGAACACGGAAAATTACCCACCCTTGCAAATAACCAAACAGAACACTCAAAAGAACGGTCTGGCTGAAATTCTGACATTCTTTAAAGAGCTTATCAGAGCGTTGGGCAGGCGGTAAAGACACTCAACTTCAAACGACTGTATTTCAGTTTAGAAACCCACTCGAGCTACTTTAGTCTGGGAAGCCGGGTAGTATGACTAGCTCTTATAACTAAAAGTACGACTCGAAATAAAATACACAAATTTGAGCTTGGTGAGTTACACCTAGTAATGTCATCGTCTAAATGAGACGAATCCGATTTTTGAAAAAGCAAGCAAGTATGTGAGGAACTGAAGGTGATTAATAGGACCTGGCTCACACGGCTTACTGTTAACAAAGTATGCCAGAATCATCCGCCAAATTGGTTTATATTAAACGAAGTTCGGTGGTGTCCCCTTACAACAGTTAATTATATACATTGTCGTTAAGTTACTTGAAAAGATAATTCGGGTTAAGTTACTAAGTCACATAGATTCACACAATCTGTTAACTCCCGAGCAACATGGGTTTCGTAACAAGCGTTCATGCTCGACTAACTTATTGCGAGAGAAGATTGAACAGCAGCCCTAGATAACTGTCTGTCTGTCGATGTGATATTCGGAGATTTTAGCAAAGCATTTGACAAGGTTTCCCACTTAGGTCTTATGCAGAAGCTCTCGAACTTCGGAATAATAGGTGCTGTACAGGAGTGGATAAGAAACTACTTATGTGACCGCAGACAGAGTGTGAGAGTCAATGGAACTCTATCCGAACGGATGCCGTCGAAAGTGGTGTACCCAAAGGCACCATCTTAGGCCCTCTACTTTTCATTCTCCACGTTAATGAATTACCGCTGTTGCTTAGGTCGTCGAAATTATTGTTTGTGGATGACGTAAAAATCTGGAGAACAATAAGAAGTGAGGTTGGCCATTTGTATCTCCAAGCTGACTTAGACAAATTAGTTGGACGGGCTCGAGGTTGGGGCTTAGAAATCAATTCTAGAAAGAGTGTGCTAATGCACATCGGTCACGGTAATAGTTACCATTATACTATTGATGGTACATCTCTTCCACGCGTTCAAGAACATAAAGACTTAGGAGTAATAATAAGCCATGACTTGAAAACAACTACGGATTGCAATGCAGCTGCTGTCAAAGGTTTTCGTGAGTTATGGTCACTTCGCCGAGCATTCAAATGCTTTGACGCGGAAATGTTTCGAATTTCATATTCCACCTATGTAAAACCACACTTAGAGTAATGTATCCAAGGAACTGACCCATGTCTGGTAAAGGACACTAACTCCCTTGAGCGTGTTCAGCGTGTAGGAACAATATTAGGGAAGGGTCTTTCTAAACTCCTTTACAATGAGCACTTAAAACGCCTAAATCTTTTCTTGTCGTATCGTAGAACGCGAGGTGACCTTACACTGGCATTTCGTCACTTTTATTGTGATGTTGGTGTTAATATGTCTTATCTTCTTGCTCCCTCCAGCACTAATAATCTCCGAGATCATAGCAAGAATAATAAACTTTATGTGGGGTCCCGTTTTTCTCATCCAGTAGCCAATGGCTGGAACGCCTTATCGGAACAAGTGGTACCGGCCCACTCAGTGAATATTTTTAAGAAGCTGGATCTTCACTGGAAGGCGATTTGTCAGAATTAACACAGGTTCACCAACCTACTATCCTTATTACTGAAGACTGAAGACAGCCTTAAAGTTTAGTCTGGTCTGATTATCTTTAAGAAAGCCCTGGTGGATCTTATGCGGAATCTAAATTATTTACAGGTTGGTAGACAATTGCTAAAAGTGTTAAGAGGAAAACTTACGTAAAGAGCGTTCAGCATCCGGTTCGCTAGATTATGTGCATGGTTCAGTAATTCATCATCATATCCCGGTGGTCGCAGATGGCCAAATAACTCGGTTGGGTCTGTAATTATTATATGTGCTGATAAAAGACCTCCTAGGACTCTGAGACAATACAATTAACCAGTAGCTTACCTAATAGTTGCTTCGAAAATTTGAACCCTTGTCTTTTGATTAAACGAAAGGTGCTTGATGACTAAACTAACTGCATTTCTAAAATCTTCGGTTTTTCCCATGATCTAAAGTCTGAGTAAATAACCGTATATCACTTACTGCTAACGTATCAAGAGAGTCTATAAGTGTGAGTAGATAGTCACCAAGAGCATCGTTCACATTTATATTATCAGGATTTTCGTGATCATAACCACGGCCAACGCAGTCAATCGGGTTTAGTTCATCATAAGGGAACCCATACTTTAAGTAGCTATCATATGCGAAACTAAACATGTCATAAACCGAGTTAGCAAGCAACTTTTTGTCACTACTAGACATATCCATATTTAGGAGGTTTAGCCAACGCCTAAAATTGGTGGGGTTGCTGTTTTTGGAAGTGGAAAGATATGCATAGTGAAAGTCTATCCAAAACAAGTTGATAATCGCGAGGCCAAACAAGTTAGCAAACCTCATTGCAACTGAGGTTTGACAATAACTCGTGTGACATTCGAACGTGACGCTTTCAGGTCATACCATACGTAACATACTTGATCCATTAAAAAAGACGTTTGTTAAGAAAAAATTAGGTTGGAAAGCACAAGGTAGATAATAAATTCGGATGCTTAAAATTTAAAAGAAATGTCTAATAAATTGGCTATTATTCCTCTTGTGTCGCAATTAAATATTAGACGCGGTATTTAAAAAGGACTGTTGTATTGAATGTTTAATTACCAGTAAAGACTGCTATTTTCGCCTGAATTGAATTTATTTCAGTTAAAGTAGTCTCTTAAAGTACAAATTTTTTTAGAGAAGTTTATTATCTGTGCTTTTTCAGTACAGATACAAAAAGGCACTGGTATTTTTTTCCTCTTTGAGTATATCTTTTAGTATTGTTTGTATCCAAGTGCCAAAGTCTTTTTGTAACTACTGATGCTGAATTTCTTCGTCGTTGATAAGTATAGTAATATGCAAACCTCTGTTTTTGTCTGCGTTTAGTGTCTATCACCTGTAAAGCCTTAAAAGACACCTTTTCTAGAGATCAGTTTTCTCTGTTATTCTTCCTGTGAGGTCACAAAGCAAAATTGTGGCAGACCTGCACTCTATTTCCCTGCTGATGATGGAATGCAATGTGACAACTGCGATTAGTGGTCCCGCGGTATATGCACCGGACTCATACCAGCTGCATATAAAAGGTGCTGCAAGCCACTACTACTTTGGTTGTGCAAAGCATGCTACGGTCAACTGACTTCTCTCCCACCTCTAGATAGAAGTGGTCATGCAGTCATCTTATTCATAGATGAGATGGCCTGTTAATCCGTCACGTCGACCCATCCTAACATATGGAAGGCAAACATGGAGGCAATCAACTCTGTAGCATCGGCTAAAAACTGGGAAATTGACTCAAAGGCATCAGTAGACTCATTTCAGGCAGTTATGCAATCGGGTGACTCAACCATACATACTTTGGACAGTCCCGTAGAAGAAACACGTCCAGTCCTGGATTGGCCGAAAAATTCGACGTTTACCAAGACAAAAGAAGAAATGTTGGAATTTCTCCATCAACCTTGAGCACAGCAAGTAATATGGAACGCTACAAGTCGGTGAGAAGTGTATAATCACAATACGGGAAGCTCACAGGAAATATAGAATGGAGTTAGTACATTCTGCGTTTAAGTAGCCCGAGAGACTAATCTCGTATATAAATTGCAGAAAAAGGACTCAGCATTGGATTCCCAACATAATTAATGGAACGGATCTGGAATGATAGAGGATGATAAGAAAAAAGCAGGGGCTATGGTAAACTATCTTGTGGTATTTTTCAGTCAGGAACCACTTCTAGACGAAGAACTAGACTCAAATACAAAGTCAACAATCCATCTGTTCACCGTGAACTTCGATCAAGACGATGTACTTAAGACTCTTAGCACTCTAGACACGAAAACGTCAACCGGACAGGATGAACTACAGCCCAAAATCCCAACACAAATTGCATAATATACTGCAGCCCCACAAACTGTAATATTCGATGTGTCACTTGACCATCGTGTGTTACCTACGGACAGGAAGGATGCTATCGTCACTCCAACACACAAAAGAGGAGTGAGAGAAATTTCATAGAACAACAGATCTGTCAGTCTCAGCATTGTCGTAGTTAAAATACTGGAAGGAATGGTCAGAAAAGACCACAATGACTGTTTTGAAAACCCACAACTTCTTAAACAACGAACAACATGGATTCAAAAGATGTTTATCTTACATAATAAACCTCATTATATCGATGGATAGAGGCTCTATACAATGGAAAATCAGTGGATTTTGTCTACATAGACTTCAGCAAAGCATTTGATATGTTGCATACAAATAAACTGCTCTCGAAGCCGAAAAATCGAGGTACTGTCGGACCTGTAATAAAATGGATTAAGGATTTCTCGGTAGGTCATGGACGGAAAATAAGAAAAAGTTCCAAGTACTCCTGGAAACCAGTACTTGGCGGACAACCACAAGGCTCTGTCCTGGTTCCTCAGTTTTTTATACTGTATATACATTATCGCTCAAATACAGTTGAGTCCCCAACGTTATCATACGCTTATGATATGAAAACCTGACGAGAAATAGCAGGAGACGCTGGTGCACGTGCACTTGAGGCAGACTTAAATATTGTAATTACTTACTTACTTACTTACTTACGCCTGTTACTCCCAATGGAGCATAGGCCGCCGACCAGCATTCTCCAACCCACTCTGTCCTGGGCCTTCTTTTCTAGTTCCGTCCAATTCTTGTTCATTTTTCTCATATCTATCTCCATTTCCCGGCGTAATGTATTCTTTGGTCTTCCTCTCCTCCTTCGACCTTGAGGGTTCCATATGAGGGCTTGTCTTGTGACGCAGTTCGGTGCTTTCCTCAATGTGTGTCCTATCCACTTCCAGCGCTTCTTCCTGATTTCTTCCTCCACTGCGATCTGATTTGTTCTCTCCCACAGTAGGTTGTTGCTTATAGTGTCCGGCCAACGGATCTGAAGTATTTTGCGTAGACAACTGTTAATAAACACCTGTATCTTTTGGACGATGGATTTCGTAGTTTTCCAGGTTTCCGCCCCATACAGTAGAACTGTTTTGACATTTGTATTGAAAATTCTGACTTTGGTGTTGGTTGCCAATTGTTTTGAGTTCCAGATATTCTTCAGTTGTAAATATGCTGCTCTTGCTTTGCCAATCCGTGCCTTCACATCTGCATCAGATCCACCGTGTTCATCAATGATACTGCCCAAATATGTAAAGGTTTTTACATCTTCCAAAGCTTCTCCGTCAATTGTGATTGGATTGGTACATGCTGTATTGTATCGAAGAATCTTGCTTTTCCCTTTGTGTATATTGAGACCTATTGCTGCTGAGGCTGCAGCTACACTGGTTGTCTTCTCCTGCATTTGGTGTTGCGTATGCGATAGAAGAGCCAGATCATCTGCGAAGTCTAGATCATCCAACTGCATCCTAGCTATCCACTGTATCCCGCGCTTCCCTTCAGATGTTGATGTCTTCATGATCCAGTCGATCACCAGGAGAAAGAGAAAGGGTGAGAGTAAGCAACCTTGCCTGACACCGGTCTTTACTTCGAACGACTTTGTCAACTGTCCTCCATGCACGATTTTGCAGTTTAATCCATCATAGGAATTCTGTATGATATTGACTATCTTCTGAGCTTCCATAGGGTTGTTCTGTCCACGCTATCAAATGCTTTTTCGTAGTCGATGAAGTTGATATAGAGTGATGAATTCCATTCAATTGATTGTTCCACAATGATCCGTAGAGTTGCGATTTGGTCTGTGCACGATCTATCTTTACGGAATCCTGCCTGTTGGTCTCGAAGTTGAACGTCTACGGAGTCCTTCATCCTGTTTAACAATACCCTGTTGAAGACTTTTCCTGGTATTGAAAGAAGAGTGATTCCCCTGTAGTTGTTACAGTTGCTGAGATCGCCTTTCTTTGGTATTTTGACCAGAAGTCCTTCTTTCCAGTCTTTTGGTACCTGTTCCTCATCCCAGATCTTTCTGAAGAGAGTTTGGAGTATCCTTGCAGTTGCCGCTACGTCTGCTCTCAGTGCCTCTGCTGGAATGCTGTCTAGTCCTGCTGCTCTGCCACTCTTGATTTGTCTGATAGCCATGCTGATTTCTTCAATTGTTGGTGGGCCAACATCAATTGGGAGGTCCGTGAGTGCTGCTTCGATGTTGGGTGGGTTCAGTGGGGTTGGTCCATTCAATAGTTCTTTGAAGTGTTCTACCCACCTGTTTCGTTGTTCTTCAATGTTGGTGATTACCTTGCCTTCCTTGCATTTCACTGGTCGTTCTGGTTTACGGTGATTTCCGGAGAGTTTCTTTGTTGTTTCATACAGTTGTCTCATGTTTCCTTCTCTGGCAGCCTTTTCCGCCGTCAATGCCAAATCCTCCACATATTTACGTTTGTCAGTTCTGATGCTCCTTTTCACTTGCTTGTTTACTTCTGTGTATTCAGCTTGTGCCTTGACTTTTTCTGCTCTTGTTCGACTGGTATTGATTGCTGCTTTCTTGTTCCTCCTTTCTTGAATCTTATCCAGTGTGTCGATCGTGATCCAATCCTTGTGATGGTGCTTCTTTTGGCCCAGAACCTCATGACATGTTGAAGTGATTGCCTCTTTTATCTCTTTCCAGTTGCTCTCCATAGTAGTTCCTTCTCCATTGAGTAGATCATGAAAGGCTTGGAACTTATTGCTGAGGGTTATCTTGAATTTATTGAGTTTGTCATTATCCCGAAGAAGAGCCGTATTAAACTTTTGGGATATTGTCCGCCCCGTTGTCCAGTGCCTCTTGAGTTTCAATTTCATCTTGGCGACCAGCAAGTGATGATCTGATGCTATATCAGCTCCTCTCTTTGTTCTCACGTCCTCCATCGTCCTCCTGAACTTTTTGTTGATGCAGATATGGTCGATTTGGTTCTGTGTGCTGTGATCCGGTGAAGTCCATGTGGTTTTGTGTATGCGTTTATGTGGGAATATAGTCCCGCCTATGACCAGTTTATTGAAGGCACATAGATTTGCAAATCTCTCACCATTTTCATTCCTTTCTCACAGTCCGTGTCGTCCCATGATCTCTTCATATCCGGTGTTGTCAATTCCTACCTTGGCATTTAGGTCTCCCATCAGAATTGTCAGGTCTTTAGTTGGGCACTTCTCGACGATTGACTGCAGCCTATCGTAGAATTGATCTTTAGCGTCTTCATTGTAGTCGTTGGTAGGCGCGTAGCATTGGATGACGTTCATTGTAATGCCCTCTTTCTTTGTTTTGAAGGAGGCTTTGATGGTCCTTGGTCCATGAGATTCCCATCCTATAAGTGCATTTTGTGCTTGTTTGGACAGCATCAATGCAACTCCTTGTGTATGTGGAGCATTTTCTTGTTCATGTCGCGAGTATAACAGCAGCTCCCCTGAAGCTAGTCGTTGTTGTCCAACTTGCGTCCAATGTGTTTCACTGATCCCAAGCACCTCTAAATTGTATCTC